CTGAATCCCTGTGTGGAAACATGCACAAACATCTCACGTCCATCAGCTCCTGTGTGACTAACTTCTTTGCAGATCACTTTTGGAGCTTTCCAGCTAGTTACAGAAGTTACTCTCCTAGTTAGCTTTCCCTAGCATTGCTTTGACAGTTGTCCTAAACGGATTGCTTTGTTATATATAATATATATTTTCAGTGAACAGGGGAGAGGTGAAAGCACAGTCAAGGGAATTCATGACCCTCTGGAGAAAATTTTGCTTTAGTTTATGCTAATCAGACCCTGTCTACCTTGAACAGGAACACTTCCTTCAATCAAAAACTGTTTAGTTAAAATTGTGATTTACTGTGCCATCCTGTTTTGGTGGGGAAAAAGCATTTGCTTTGATCCATTATATTTTCCTACTTAGATTAGTTTAATGTAAGGCAACATTATAGGTCTCATTAACATCTATGTAAACACCTAGGCAGCCAAAGAGATGACAGGCAGGGATAGTTAGATGATATAGATGGGGAGGGGCTGGTTTTAGGAAACATGAAAAACAGAACTCAGCTGCATAAGCATCATCAATGAAAATATTTTTTTTTAATCCTGCTACAAAACTTGTGTTCACACAGCTCCTTAGGGCTCAGACACACTCTTCTGAGCAACTGATCATTCTGTGCCCTAGATCTTTGTCACTAGTTTATTAACAGAAGTTGCAATTCTCTCAGCTCTGCCTGCTTAACTGCTTGTCTGACTACTCCCTTACCTGCTAGCTTGGGCTAAAAACCTTTCCCATGGCAGGAACTTGGCCATCTTCCTCATTTTACAAAACAAGATTAGAGAGCAATTAGACAACCAGCTAAACTGTCAAAAGTGAATGGGAAGCACCCTCTTTCACAGCAGAGGGACAGAAATAAGCTACCAGAGGGGGGATTCAGACATCACCCCCTTCCCTCACATCACCAGCAGCTGGAACCTTTCATCACACTGTGCACTAAGGACCGATGCAAAGGCAGACACTGGGAGGGTTACCCTCAGCATTTTAAAATCTTACTATCCCTAGTTCTCTGCAGGAGCATTCTGTCCAGCAGCCAGGGCTCCAGAAGAGTGTAGGCTGCACATAGGTAGCTCTGCTGGCCTAGGTCTGAGCCCAGTCCAGTAATCAGACTTCCAGGGGAGCAGGTGGGTGCACAGGCAGATGAAAATCAAATGGATCTAGAAGTTACTGAATGCAGCTGCCCTTCACAAGTCCTATGGTGTGGGTGGCCCTGCTGCTTGAAAACAGCTGCTACATTGACAAAAACTGCTGTGTGGAACAGGTTAAAAAAAAGTGGGGGGTGGGGGACAGACAAAAAGGATGGGTTAAGGGAGGAAAATCTGTAGAGGTTTTTTGTCACCTTTCCCCACAAAGAAATCCATTCTGAACCCTGCCAGTGTTCATGGCTAAGAGCCCTCTGGGTTTCAGCCTAAATGTACTCATAGGCAGATTAAATACTAGGTTACTACAAAAAAGATCAACGCTGGGATCAAATTGAGCATGACTATGTATGCTTCCAGCACTCAAAGAACAAAATGCAACCACACAGATCCAAAGGTTCAAACTGATGTGAAGAACATGTCACCTCCTTCTAAGCACACCACTGTGGGAAGGCAGAATCTGGGCTCTCCCATCACTGTACAAGAATTTATTTTTTAGCAATGAAGCACACTAAATCTGTTGTATCATTGTTCTGTATTTCACCAGGGACTCAATTCCTCAGTCCTGTTGTATATTCACATTGAAGAGGGCCTTAATAAATGAAAAAATCTTCCTCAGTTTCAAAATGAGGGGCAAGTTACTCAACAGTAGGAAGCAGAGTCCCATATTCATGTAGCACTGCCAAACAAAACCTTTTGTGGGAGAAAGACAGACATCTTGCAATATCAGGATTCAGCTGGATTGAGGTAATGGAATGGTTTCAAGTGGAAATTAGTAAGGCAGATATGGAAGTTACCTACTTACCATTGAACATGCTGTTGGCAATAGCACCGCATGGAGCCATGGGCGTCCCATTTCGGTAGGTGGTGAAGGGCGTGCAGTAGCTCTTCTGAATCTGCATTCAAGGTCACAGAACAATCAGGGACAGAACCCGGTGGTTTGGTTTTTTTTGTTTTTTTTTGGTTTGCTGGTGTTAATATTTGTACAATCATAGAACAGAACACCAGGTTGGAAGGGACCCCAAGGATCATGTGGTCCAACCTTTCTTGTGAAAAGCATGGTACACTGTCTAGAGACAGCACCCTGTCCAGCTGAATCTTAAGTGTCCAATGTTGGGGAATCTACCACTTCCCTGGGCAGATTATTCCAGTGGCTGGTTGTTCTTGTTATGAAAAATTTTCCTCTTGTGTCCAATTAGAATCTCCCCAGGAGCAACTTGTGCCCATTACCCCTCGTCTTTTCCACGTGACTCGTTGTAAAAAAGGAGTCTCCATCTTCTTTGTAGCCACCCTTTATCACCCTCTGTGATAAGGTCTAAGCCTTCTTTTCTCAAGG